TTCCTTTCCTTTCCTTTCCTTTCCGTTCTTTTTTCAATGTAGGATTATGGGGTACTCCCTTTCAGCTAAAAACCACTTCATGTCCTACATCTTCTCTTGCCCCCATTTTCCCCATCTTGCCATGCTGTAATTTAACTCAGTGCAGCATTCATCTACTCCTTATTTTTCCACTCAGTCCCAGTTATTTAAGTATTGACATCTTTCTGCTGCTGAATGTGGTACCTTTTCCTCTCTCTCAAAAAAGCGAAGACAAGGACTCATACCATGTTCATTTAATCTGATGTCTTCCTCAGTCTGTGATTTCTGTTGCCCTTTTCACTGCCATCATTTCTCCGTTGCGTGCCTTGTTTCTTCTGTATGTACGTCTATGTGACCACCCAAACACACATTTTCTTATTCCAACCACAAAAAACTCTTACAAAAAAAAAAAAAAAAAAAAAAAAAGTTCTCTAAGTAAGAAGGACTTCCAAGCTTTTAAAAGATGATTGGGTCAAATTAACAGTATTAACACACTCATTTATATTCAAAATCCTCATGCTCTTCTCTTGTTCTTTTGCCCTCTGAATGAGTTTTGCCTGGTTTGTCTTTGGCAAAATGCAAGCTTCATGAAATAAGGAAGTCAAACAGCTGAAATTTCAAGTTACCTAGCTTTGAACACCCAAATCAAGACTGAGGCATTTGGCACAGTCTGGAAATTAGTTCTGCTTAAAGAGTTTCAGGCTAAGCGTCAAACCTCAAAGCATGCCATGCCTCTTGTCAGTTTGGAAAATCTTGGCCTTTACGTCCCAGTCATTGCTAAAGGTACTGTTGAGAGTCATCGGCTAGTGCTGTTGCTATTAAATGCAGTGATTCAGAGTATACAAGTTGTCTTTTTTTTTTTTCCTTATTTTTTAAGGGATGTATTACAGTAATCGCTTGACCTATGAGAGAGCTGAAAAACTTCAGTTTCTCTCCATTATGTTGCTGGAATTGTGCGTGCTGTTTGAGACAACACGGGACTCAGGCAGATGGCCATACTGGCTTTGAAATGCCTACCTGATTTGGTAAAAGAGGGACAAAAGGATACAGAAAATACCCTCTTCTGGCAACTAGAACCAGAGTAGAGGGAACTTTATGCACAGCAATAATAACATCGTGCAACTGGGTGGCATGAGTCATGCTCAGTACACTTCCTAGTGATGAAAGACCTGCCAGTTTCATTATAGTTCATTTTACATTAAAATATAATATTGCAGAGAGACGTGGTTAGTTTTTAGTATATAACCTAGTCATTTCCTTGAAAAAATCAGTAGCTACTCACAGACATACAGTATGTTTTGTAACAATGGCAACTACCGTAGGCAATACAACTTTAAAAATAAATTTCATAAAAGAATTTTTCAATGTATTTTTTAAGGCCATAATTAGTCAAGGAAGTCACTCAAAAAGGGAGACTTAAATGCCCAGACGCTTATGTGTTAGCCTCATGGTGTTCCAAAAAAACAAAATCAGCTGTTCTCTGGCAGTGTGTAGGGAGAGGCAATCTCTGGGTTCAGAAACAGACGACTTCTCTCTAGGCTCAGAGGGGTTGCCCTCAGCTAGCTTGTCCAAATGCTGACCAAGGCTCAGGGAGTACTGGCCGTTCTTGGGGGACCCCTGTCACAGCCCCCAGTTAGAGTGAGGGACAGCCCCAGCTGAAGATTTACAACCAGAATTTGCAATTTTTTTATTTTTATTTTTTGGAAATGGAACCTAACATTTTCTGCTTCCAAAACCTGACATGTCTGAGTCTTCTGAAACCACAGCTGAAGGATGAAGTGCTCTTTTTTCACTAGAAGTTGCAGCAGTCACTCAAGTAGCAGGCCACAGGGCTTGCTGTGTCTGCATATTATGGAGATTCCCTATTCAATTGCTGCAGAACATTAACACTCTTCATGTCCTCCTGTTATAGCGAGTCCCCTCTTGCACAGAGCATGTTCAATATTCATGGGAGCAGGGGAAGAGCAAAGGAATGCCTCTATAGCCCAGCGCCTTCCAGTCCATGCTCCCAAAAGGATTTAAGGATGCTTTATGGAACTGACGGACAAAGTGATCACATTTGCATAGCAAGATGTTTTTGGTGGATATTTTATATTTAAGGGTCATTACATACTTTCTGGAAAAAAAAAAAACACAAGCATTTCACATTGTAAAGCAGAATCTTCACTTAAAGTGCAGACATCTAATTCATGAAATGAGTCAAATCTGTTTAGTCCAGGTTATAATAATAGGAAAGCACATTCAATATTTGGACTAAATTTTTCTAGTTTCTTGCTGCTTAAATCAAACAACTAAAGAAAAATAATGTGAATTTTGTTATTTTCAGTGATGTTTTCAGACCACCATCTACTTGTCAGAGAAGTTCTGACTGTTACAAAGATTTTTTCATTCTTAGTGTAACAGATTTTCAGTATAAAGTAGTTTAGGCATCTGCACCCTCTCCCTATGCACACCCCTTTTCCTTTTCCCTGTTAATGAAAGTTAAGCAACATTTTTATTTTTTTTTTGCTACACTTATAGGCACTGATTCTGTATTTCATTCTTGCCTGTGAACCAATACATCAATTCTCTGGCCAAAAAAAAAAAAAAAAATAAAATTAATTTAAAATGCCAAAACAAATGTAGCAGCATGAACCAAAAGGCTCACAAGAAAAACACAAATTTCATTAATAGACCAGTTTATGAATAATCCCCGACGTGGTGTTTAGTGATGCTGTTAGCTGTGCATCCTTCATGTAAGAAGTGGTCAAGATCCTGACTGGCCAGGGTCTCTGAGAGTCCCATGGCACTTTCTTTAAAATTAGGCTGATTACTCTGGTTTTATTGCAGTTCAAACAAGTACACTCTCCATGATTTTTACAGCTATGCTGAGATACCTTTGCTGCCAAGTACTCTGGATATCTTTCTGCATTTCAAGAGCCCAGTTCTTGTTCCCCTTTGGGTTTGGGATGCAAATACAAGCTATGTTTATCACAGCCTTACAAGAAACTTGGAGCTTCCTCCATTTCTGCACCTGTGTTAAATGCCAACCAGCAAAAGGCACTTTAGAGTTTATTGTAAGTCTGACAACTGACAATATCCTAACATTTTTAGGAAAATTTCACAGTGAGAAACAGCAATGAGGCAGGTAGCCAAGAGTACATATGGTAACATTGGCATAAACATATGGAGATTACATTTGAAACAGGGGGGGAGGAGGTCATATTTATTTACCAGAACAAACACCTCCCTGAATTTTAGGGGCAAAGCATTTTCTGAATGAAGGATGACAGTTGCGTGTGTGTGCCATAAAAGGTTTTGTGGAGTAGAAACAAATTGTGGTCTATTAGGAGAAACAGATTGAGCATGGCGCACCTCAAAAAAACCAACAATCTGTTACAACTATTGGCGCTGCTGAGTAAAGCATCTTTTACTCCGTGACGCTGTATGCTATGTGCCGCTCTACTTTTTGCCTGCTCATACAAGGAGCGTGTACTTTTGTGCCAGGACTCACAGAGCCTTATAGCTCAAACTTGATGGCTTGAACAAGCACTGTCAGAGGACCGAAGAGCCAGCCAGCCTCAGAAAGGCTGAGTGGCCCCTGCCTCCTATTCAGGGCGTGAATGAAGCAGGCTGTAGGCTAGGACTCACACTGCAAGCACTTCAGTAGCTCAACCTTGTCAGCTTCATTGTCACTACTAAGCTTCCATGCACGACGAAGGAAATTACCAACATTTAGACACAAACCCTTACTTCTTGTTGCCATCAAACTAAAGCACTCTCACACACAAAACAAACAAACACCACAACCTTTATAAAATATATGGGCTTCAATTCTTCCTGTAAGGTACAATACCTGAAGCAGAATATCTTCACTGTGAATTGGGGTATGAAAATGACCTTACCGTCTGCCCACTGCTCGTGTTCAGGTTTATCAGAATTTCCAGTGCAGATACTTGCTTCTGCAGGACTGTGAGTTGAACAGAATTAAAAATCAGTGGTAGTTTTGCATCCCACAAGTGCTGAAGGAATACATTACAGATAGCATCTCTATGCTGTATCAGTCACTTCCTATAGCAAAGAGGAAAAATGTGTCACTTATGAGATATGTCACTGCAGGATTGCTCCCTAGGGAACATGCCTCATGCTTTGGCCAGTCAAGTTTTATACTCTCTAAATGATAGGGGCTTCCATCATCTCCCTTAAATTACTTCTGCATTCATGCTGAAAATGATCTCGGGGAGTGTTCTTACTGCTACTTGGTCTAGTTTTTCCCTGCTACATGCCCTGTACTACCAATATCACTCTACCGCTGGGCAGCCCCACTTTGGTAGCACCAGGATTTTTGCCTGGACTTTGAGGTTATCTGGGGATTGTGTCTAGCGAATAGTTGTCATCCAGAGAGGTGCCTTCTGAGGACTCTGATGCTTTGCCTACAGAAATTAAAAGCAAAAGCCTATTAAACAGCCTTGGCTAAAACCAAGCCTGCTGCTATCCTAGTTGTCACAGGGATCGTGTCCAAAAGCACAGCGAGATCCCACTCGCAGCTATCTCAGTACTGTGCTGGCATCCACACTAAAAAACAGCCCTGGCCTGGGGCTGTGGTTACCCAAGGGCCAGACCCGAGTGGATGGAGGACACGATGAAGTGCTGTGAAGGGAGGAGGACACGAAGTGTGTGCGCTGAGGGGGCTGCTGGTGACAAAGGAAGGCAGAAGCATTTCATTTTTCTG